AAAGTCAAGCGCACCACATATATTCGACCACGTAGATTGCACATCATACATCGTACAACCACATAGAGTACGCAACAATATTGCACTACATGTGCTGCACCGCGTAGAGTTATCTTATAAAAAAGTGTTTGGGTCTCCCCCACACCAGAAGTCTCAGCCCCCTTTAATCTCGATTTGTATTGCAAGATACATATGTGTTTGCCCCATTGTCCATCCGAAATAGGAATTCGTACAATCCCAAGCAAGCCGGTACCCGCCCCCCCCCCCACCATCTGCCAAACATACTACGCGCGCGCACTTACTTACCACAACTTTGCAGTTCTCAAGAATCCCTTGCAATAAGTGGGACGAAGCGCACATGCGCACGTCGTCGCGCGCAAATTCTGCACTCCTGCGAAGACCAGAGCAATGGCAAGGAGTTTAAAATCGAGTGTCCCGAAAACATATAAGCACATGGTTTCGCAACATGCACTTGCAAGATAAAGCTTGCGCCCGCGCTCATGCGACTTCTTAATCTCAGCACGAAGGTCGGTGTTTCAGTCTGCTCAGAACTTGCTACCCATCGGGCCTCTCTCGCGCGCATGTCGGAATCGCTCGAACGCCCTTGCGCGCGTGCTGTCGCAAGAATAATTTGAAATATACATGGGACGAAGTACACACGCGCGCGTCGTCGCGCGTGCATGCTGAACTTTTTGAAACACGATAGGTTTCGCAAGGATGTCAAACTCGAGCTGCCCGAGCACATGTAAAACACCTTGGTTTGCAACCTCAGTTGTTAAACTGCATGCGTTCGCCGCGTTCGCCCCTCTGCGAATTCTGAAGAAACCTCGGTTTTTTTATGCATTTTTATATACACGTATATATCATTGAATTCGGGCCACACGGACCCCCCGCGCCCCACGTCGAGATCATTCGAACGCCCTTGCGCGCGTGCTGGTGGGGGCACGATCCGTGTTAACTAACACCATGCGGGCAACACTCGAGCGTCGGCCGCGCGCGCATGTCGATCTCCCTCCTAAACAATCTCCATCACCGACGCGAGGGCGCCGTCATCCTCGCGGGCGTGGTCAGCATCGGCGCCGTCACCAGCCTTGCCATCGTCGTTGCCATCGTCACCAGCATCGTTGCCGTCATCATCGTGCCTACCTTTTTTTATCGACGTTGCCCACGTTGCCATGATGCCGCTCCCGCCCAACGACTCGCACTGAAGTGCCCGTTGGGATGTGTCCAGCGGTCAGCGCCACCGCGTCGGTCGCCCAAAAATATTTGGCCGTTGCGCGCGCGAGCACGCGCGGGCTTGCGCGGCTGCAGTAACGCACCAGCCAACACCAAGCAGTCATCGCAATCGCCGCCGCATGCGTTTTGCAAACCAAGGTGCAAGTGGTGGGTGCGCGAGCACTAGAGCCGACAACGAGAGCATTGCGAACACAAATTAGTTGCACCACATTAATTACGGCACGTCGATGACCCACATCGGTTCCCGCACGTTGTTTGTACGTGTTCGAGCGCGCTTGCGGCGCGTTTTTTTCGTCGTCTAACATACATACGCCGCATGACATACACAGTATATTCGCACCACGTATATTGAACACCCTATATTTGCAAAGCTTTGGTAATGGACTTTGCCCCCCCCCCAGGATTATCGGTTCCCCTCTTGGCATTGCAATTTCTATACGGTTCTGCCCCACCGTCCATCCGAAATATGAGCGCACACCATCCCAGCCCATCTGGTATCGGCCCGCCCCGTCTGCCTCTGGGAAAAAATGCCATGTGCGCGCACTCGTTTGTCAATAAGCATAAGTGTTCAAGAATCCTTTTGCAACAGATAGGACAAAGTGCGCACGCTCGCGACGTCGCGTGCGCATGCCGGATTCCTTGCAAAACCTCTGGTAACATGAGGTCTTCAAAATCGGGTGTCCAACCATCGTATCAAACACAATTGATTTCGCAAAGCGGATTTTCAAACAAAAAACGTGTGCGCGCGCTCTTGCGAATTCTAAAGAAAACCATCGTTTCCCAACGTAGAAAATGCTACCAAACGAGCTTCGCGCGTGCGCATGTCGAAATCGTTCTGGCGTTTTTGCGCGCGTGCCGTCGCGAGAATCCGTTGCAACAAATGAGACGAAGTTGTGGCGCGCGTCGTCGCGCACGCATGCCGGAATCCGTCGCGAATTTGCAGTGTCGTAACAATTCATTCTCGATGTTTAGACCAACCATATAACACAGACGTGGCTTCGCAACACCAGTTAAAGAAAAACTGCGTTCGCGCTCGTGCGCATTATTGGGCAAACCCTATGTTTTTTCCCCATGTTCGTGGAATGCTGCCAAGAGGGCCTCTGGCGCCGCATGCCGACATCATTCGCACGCCCTTGCGCGCGTGCTGGGGGGGCACGGCGCGTGTCAAATTAAACCATGCGGGCCACTCGTGCGTCGGCCGCGCGCGCATGTCGATCTCCCTCCCAAACCTTCATCACCGACGCGAAGACGTCGTCATCGTCGT